CAACCTGCCACAGATTAAAACTTGACCCCTATATTTCACCATGCACTAAATTAAAATCCAAGTGGATTAAAGATCTAAATATTAAAATAGAAACACTAAACTTGCTGGAAGGTAAGTTAGGCAGAACTCTGGAAGACATTGGCATAGGAAAAGACTTTATGAACAAACCCTCAGTAGCACGGGAATGAGCAGGAAGAATCAACAACTGTGATCTCATCTTATTAAAAAGTTTCTGCACTGCAAAAGAAACCATCAGCAGAACTAACAGACAACCACCTACAATGTGGGAAAAAAATACCAGCTATTCCTCAGACAAATGACTATTATCTAGCATATATAAAGAACTCAAAACAACCAGCCCCTCCAAAATATAAAGACCCGATTCAAAAATGGGCATCTGAAATGAACAGACATTTCTCAGACAAAGAAGTAAAAGCAGCAAGTAAATATATGAAAAAATGCTCCACATCATTGGTCATTGGAGAGATGCAGATGAAAACAATGCTGAGATTCCACCTCACCCAACAAAGAATGGCTGCTATCAAGAAATCAAACAACAACAAATTTTGGCGGGGTTTTGGGATCAAAGGAACCCTTCTCCATTGTTGGTGATAGTGCAGACTGGTGCAATCACTGTGGAAATCAATATGGAGATTCCTCAAAGAGCTTGGACTGGAGGTTCCATTTGACCCAGCCATCCCTCTGCTGGGTATCTTTCCAAAAAACTAAAAGAATCATATCACAGTAATGTATATGCACCCATGTTTACAGCAGCACAGTTTGTAATAGCTAAAACTTGGAAACAGCCCATTTGCCTCTCAGTTGGAAATTGAATAAAGATTTGGTTTTTCTATAAAATGGAATATTACTCAGCTATAAAGAATGAGAAAATAGATTCATTCATAGGAAAATGGATACATATTGAAGATATACTCCTAAGTGAAATAAATAAGTCACACATGTGTAAATACCAAATAGTTTCTCTGGTGTGAATAAACTGCAATAATACATAAGATCCTAATAAGATTACTGACATTGTGAAATGAGAAGAAAGGGGCTAAAGCTGTAGGGAAGGTGGGATGAGTAGGGGAAGGGTAATAATGGAAAACAAAAAATGTGTTATAATGCAAAGAAGGAAATAAAGTGTTTGTAGATGGGGAGCGGAGGAGGGGGTGAATGGAGGGCAGGGACAAGGGGAAAAAATGAAAATCAAGACCAGTCATGTAAAGGTACAAGATCCCAACAATGAATGTAACTGTACTGTATCCCTAAAATGTACCAATAAACTCAATTAAAGCTGAATATATATAAAATGCTGGAAAAATTGGTATTCAAGAACAGAAGAATGAATTCTGATCCATAAGTCTCACCCTGTACTAAAAACACAGGAAAATGGTTCAAAGTCCTAGATTAAAGAACAGGAAAACTGAATTTCCTGGAAGAAAGACTTATAAAACTCTTGAAGGCAGAGGCATAGCTGAAGATTTCTTTTTCTAAACAACAGCAAAATGCTGTTTATTACATTTTCATCTTTATGAGTTCCTTAAAAGTTATCAAATCAGCAAAACGTCCTTCACATTGACTTTCTCTCTTCATCTTATTTTCCCTTTCCCCCTCTCCCTTTCTCTCCTTCCCTCTCCTTCTCCTTCCCCTCTCCCTTCTCTCCCCACATCCTCCAGTTACTCCATTCAGCCCCTTGATGTAAATACACATGTGTACCAACAACTCCCAAACAGAACTGAGAAGTAACCATCTGATTTGGCTATCACCAATACAATAACAAAACAGCAACTCAGGTTCATTGAGTTTGAAATTTCATTATGGAGAGTTGAAAACAAATGGTGAATACAGACCACTCTTTCAAAAAGAAACCATCAGTGAAGTTTGGGAGGAGCCCTTGGCTGAACCTTTAAGGAAGTTGCCTTTGATACTTGCATCATACCTCCTCTGCCTGCCTCTGAGTTCAGTCGTACAGTTCCTTGCAAACTTAGACTCAACCTGCTCTTGAAGGCAAGACCCAACCTCAAGCACATGCCTTCCTGCATCTTGCTCCAAGAATTCCTCTGATAACCTTGTACTGGGGACTTCTTAAACAGAACTCCAATTGCACTAGACATAATACCAAGAAGTAAGAAATGGGATTGTACCAAATTAAAAACTTTCTGTGCAGCAAATAAACAACAAATTAAAAATATAACCTACAGAATAGGAGAAAAGAAATTTTGATAGCTACTCCTCTGACAGAAAACTAATATGTAGAATATATTAAAATTTTTAGATCCTTCAAAATTAAAAACCCAATAAAAATAGGCAACTGAAATTAATAGCCATATCACAAGAGAACTAGTCCAAATGGCCATTGAGTACAAGAAAGATTTTTTCAGTATATTTGTCCAATACAGAAATGCAAATGAAAGTAACACTGAGATTTCACCTAACTCTAGTAAGAATGGCTATTATTAAGGATTCAAAAGACAAGTGCTAGTGAGGTTTGGGGGATAAAGGAACATTTTTCTTCATTATTGTGGAGAAATGCAAACTAGCGTGACCAGCATGGAAATCAATACAAAGATTCCAATAAAATTAAAAAAATAGAAATTCAATTTGATTTAGCTATACCTCTTCTGGATATCTTTTCCAATGATCTAAAGTCATCATATGATCGTGATACATGTATACCTGTTCATAGAAGCACAATTCACAATCGCTAAATGATAAAAGCAGCCTATCTGTCCACCAACAGATGAATGGATAAAGAAAAGGTGGTATATAAACCCAGTGGAGAACTACCCATAAAAAGGGACAAATTTGAATCATTTAGAGGAAAATAGATAGATCTTGAGACCATAATGCTAAGTGAAGTATTTCAGACACTAAAAATTAAATATTACATGTTTTTATGCATAAATAAAGAAGAAAATAAAAAAGACTTGTTAAGAAAGAAGGAGGTAGACACTTTGGAGATGGGAAGTGAACCAGGTGAAAGAAAGAGAAAGGAAAGCTGGAAGGCACAGAAAGTAAAAATGATCATAATGAGCTATTTATATATAACAAATCACCATGGCGAGTATAATTGCTGTACATCACTAACATGTACTAATAAAAATTTTTAAAAGAAAAAAGTGAAGCTCTTTATTCATTCTCAAACAAGAAACTGAATGCATTATGAAATGGTATATGACTTCAAACATATCTTACTATGAGAAACTTATTTTGACAACTCAGTTGGATAAACATAAAATCTTATAATTGAGTAGCTTGAGGAAAAATTTTCTACTTTGTACCATAATGCCAAGCAATATTTTGCTGCTTCTCAGCTCTGCAAGATATATACTCAATATACACTACATCAACTCCTTCAGACTATATTTGGCTTTCCAGAAAAATCAGAATCTTTGGTATTTGGATATTTAAATTTTGAAAACTTTACTTCCTTTCTTTTTTACTGTGATCAAGTAAGTAATAATGTGTTAATTCCTACAAATCTGTTATTGACTGCCCATAAGTGCTTATAAAAATAACATATGTTCTCATGCCAAGTAGTTTAAAAAATGAAACTACAGTACATTTCATTCAGTTTCATTTGTATATAGGAGAAAATAATTTTGTTATTCAAATTGATTTGATGTTATTTATCTCTATGGCTTGAATTGTTGCTTACCTTCAAGATATGCTGATATTCCAGTTCCAAGTAATTTAGAATATGTGCTTATTTGGAAATAAAGTCTCTACAGATATAGTTAAGTTAAAGTGAGGTTTTTAGGATAGGCCCTCATCAAGATGACTGAAGTCTTTATAAAAATGGAAAATTTGGACATAGGTAGGCAAATGCAGAGAGAGGTCAATGTGGAGGTGCTTATGAAGGTTTCCATGTGAAGACAAAAAAATGGAATAATTAATCTACAAAACCAGGAATGTCTGCTATCAGAACCTAGGAGCCAGGCATAGAAGGAAGTCCATATGTACTTCAGAGAGATCATGGCCCTGTCCACATAGTGATTTCATATTTATGGCTACCAGAATTATGAGATAGTAAATTTTTGTGATACATTGTGGTAAAAAGCCTGTGAAACTGATACATTATCCTAATTCAAAAATGTCTAAGTAACAAGTCCATAATTTAACTGGGCTGGGAATGCATGTGTGAATCAATCAGAACAATGTAAACCCTTTGTTGGTTACAGAAATGATTGCATAAATGACTTTGGGCTCTAAATGTTATGCAATTATTATTGCCTTGCAGCCGTTTTGTACTCTACTTGCTTTTTCCTTTAAGCTTAATAGAATTCTTGGAATGTGACATGAAGTTTTGGTTTTCTAGATCTCCAGAATACGCATAGTTTTACATATCTTTTCATATTTATTGTTCATTTAAAATTCATTTAATACTAAAAGAATGGGGACAAAATCGTGTTTTAAATTATTTCTGTGAGATCAGTTTAAAATAAAACATACAATATGTTGAGATATGTGCACAAAGTACAGATTCTACCATTAATTTTCTATATGAATTCCCATATCTTTTTTGGGGGGGCAGGGTCTTGCTGTGTAGTTTAGGTTGGGATTGAACTCAGTATGTAGTAGTCCAGGATGGCCTCAAACTCACAGTGATCCTATTGCCTCAGCCTCTTGAGTGCTGGCATTACAGGCATGTGCCACCATGCCTAGCTAATTTCACATGTCTTAAATCAGTTGCCCTTTCAGTAAAATATGGACAATAATATTTTATATCACAAAATGAATATGAAAGTATTAAAGACAGCATAAAGAGCTGTAGCCATAATGATGTATTAAAACTCATGGTCTTGCCTGATACTTGAAAATTGAATAGAATTACAACTCTACTAAACTGACCACAATTCAAAATTTTCTACTTATAAAATAAAGTTTTTATCTGATTTATCTTTGGCTTTTCCACTTTTCTAATTTTTTCATAACTATGATAAAATAATCAGAATTCAAAATTATACATGTATAAATTTTAAAAACTTGCCACTTACTTGATCTGTGTTTAGCTTTTCCACTTTTCTTATTGTTTTTTCATAAATAACATTGTTTCCTGGGAAGAAATGGTTTCCTCTCATGAATGGAGACAATGGTTCCTATAAAGACAGTAAAGACCATGTTTTAAAAACATTACACTTCCAAATGAACCTTAAATTAAGGAAATATCCAAGCACTAATAGCCTTTGAGGTAATACCAGATTTCAGGAGGAGACTGGAATGACATCTGCATAATGTTCAGATAAATATAAGGAAGTAGTAATAATTACAATACATTTTATCAGAGGGTGCTGAGTTTCTCCTTCTCCCTTTTACTAGGTCTTTTGGGGAGATTGGAAGAGGATAGAAAAGTTTTTTTCTCTATTCCTAAAGCAAGATATAATTTTTACTCTAAGGTAGACAAATCTGAGGTCAACCTCATTTACAGTGGGTGCACTGACAAGTTTCTATGCAAAATTATTATTAGAGAAATACAAAATAAACACAATTCCAGAGCTACTGAGCTATAAGTAGGTAGAAATATATTAAAGATTTTTTCAGCATTCAGTTTGGATGTCCTTAAATCACAATTCTTGTGATTCTAATCAAGGCTGAGACTCTCAGAACAATATGTTTTAAACATTGATGAAACAGTAGAAGCTTTAAGAGGCAGCATATCTCTCAGTAATCAACTAAATTACTGTACAATTATTCAGTTGCTTAGAAGATGAGAGCCAATTAAATAAAGGCTTGTGACATGTCCAAAGCCTGACTGAAACCAGAGGCAGACTAACAAGAATCTGACCAGGAATCTAAAAATAAATGTGACACATACTACAATCTTTTCCCTTATTTTGGTTTTCATTTGAGCCTTCTGCTGTGAGAGCTGTGGCTATTTTGTTTGTTGGTTTGTTGCAATATAAAAATTGTATTCATTTATTTTGTAATATGGGAGAATAATATAAAGTGGTTATAGCCAAGACCATTAAAAATTCATGTGTTTAGGAACATTTTAAAATCAACAAAATTAACTAATACTTTTGAAGTATACTACTGTAAATATTCTTAGACCGATTGGAATTAAATATTGGCTGTTAAAAGGAGATACTGTTAAACCAAGAGTTGCATGCTTCTCACATCCAAGTTTGAATAAAGAGTGTTTTAAGTAGCTAGTCCTTGGATTTGTGGTAGAATAAATGTACAAGGTAACAAATTTTATTTCTTGATGAATTATTATATCTAAAGATAGGTTATATTTAGAAGGATTCTTAAAAAGTCTATTTTGTGTTGATTAATTACTTTTTAAAGAGTCTCTTTGGTTGTTATATGCAGTAATGTAACACAGGATTCAGTGCTTTATAAGGACAGTGTAGTTTGTTAAGTGCTGTGAGGCGTACAAACATGAATCAGACTGTCAGAAACACTTGATATTGATTAGATTTCTTAAGACTTGGCAGACAGCTTTCTTTTGTAGTATCCTCACACTAAAAATGGTACGTAGATTTTCTCACTGAGTTTATTGGTACTTTTTAGTTATACAGTACAGTTACATTCATCATTGGGATCTTTTACCTTTACAGGACAGACCTGGTTTCTCATTTTTTCACCATAACCCTATCCTCCTGTCACCTCCTCCAACCACCCCTATTTACAAAGACTTTGTTTCCATTGCACCTTTTCCCATATTTTTTCTTTTATCTTATTACCTTTTCCCTATCCATCATACTTCTCCTACACTGTTATTCCTTTTCTTCCTATTTCACATTATCAATTATACAATTTGGATCTCACTTACACTTTTTGTTTTTCACACCAGAGAAACCATTATTTACAAAGTGTGTCCTATTTATTTCACTTAAGAGTATTGCCTCAATGTGTATCCACTTTTCTATCAATAACTCTAGTTTCTCATTCTTTATGGCTGAGTAGTACTCCATTTCATAGAAAACCCACATTTCTTTATCCAGTCTCCAATTGATGGGCAATCGGCCTGTTTCCAAGTTTGAGCTATTACAAACTGTGCCAATATAAACATGGGTGTGTACGCATCACTGTGGTATGATTCTTTTAATTCTTTTGGAAAGACACACAGCAGAATGATAGCTGGATCAAATGAAACCTCTAGACTTAGTTCTTTGCTATATCTCCATACTGATTTATACAGTGATTGCACCAGTCTGCACTCCCACCAAACAATGGAGGGGTTCCTTTCTCCCCACAACCCTGCCAACATTTGTTATTGGTTGATTTCTCGATAGCAGCCATTCTTTCTGGGGTGAGGTGGAATCTGTGTTGTTTTCATCTGCCTCTCTTGAATGACCAGTGATGTTGAACATTTTTCATATATTTATTTTGTGCTTTTACTTCGGCTGAGAAATGTGTGTTCATTTCAGATGCCCATTTTTGAATTGAGTTCTTTGTATTTGAGGAGCCTGACTTTTTTTTGAGTTCTTTATATATTCTAGATAATAGTACTTTGTCTGAGGAGCAGCTGATAATTTTTTTCCCACATTGCAGTCTGTCTCTTAGCTCTGTTGGTGGTTTTTCTTGCAGTGCAGAAGATTTTTAATAAGATGAGAACCCAGTTGTTGCTTCTTAGTGCTAGCTCCCATGCTACTGAGGATTTGTTCATAAAATCTTTTCCTATGCCAATGTCTTTGAGTGTTCTACCTAACTTATCTTAAAGCAAGTGTAGTATTTCTGCTTTACTATTTAGATCTTTAATCCACTTGGATTTAAGTTTAGTGCATTGTGAAGGATAAGGGTCTAGTTTTAATCTTTGGCAGGTTGAAATCCAGTTTTTCCAACACCACTTATTAAAGAGGCTGTCTTCCCTCAAATGAGGATGGTTGGCTCCTTTGTCAAAGATGAGGCAGCTGAGTACAACTAGAGTTGTTTATTTTTCAATTTATTCCAATGATCTTCGGGTTTTTTTTTGTTTTGTTTTGTTTTTTTGCCAGTAAGATGCTATTTTTATCACAGTAGCTTTGTAGTGTGGTTTCAAGTTCAGGATTGTGATACTCCCAGTCATGTTTCTGAGGCCTAGAATTAATTTTGCTATTCTAGGTCTCTTCTTGTTCGAATGAATTTTTAAATTATTTTCTCCAGTTTTGTAAGATATACTGTTGGAATTTCAATCAGGATTGCATTGAATCTGTATGGCATTTTTGGTAGTATGTCCATTTTCACTATGTTGATTCTTCCTACCAAGGAGCAGGGGATATATTTCTACTTTCTTATATCCTCTTTGATTTCTACTTTCAGGGTGCTATAGTTTTCAGTGTAGCAGTCTTTTTCTTCCTTCAGTGGATTGATTCCTAGATACTCCATCTTTTAGGATTCTATTATGAAAGGAATTGTTTTCCTAATTTCTCTCTCAGTGAGTCTATTATTTGTGTACAAGAAGGCTATTGATTTTTGAGTGTTGACCTTGCATCCAGCTACTGTGCTGAAAGTGTCAACTAAGTATAGCAGTCTTTTGGTGGATTTTTTTGTGTCTTCTATGTAGAGTATCATATCATCAGCAAATAATGATGGTTTAACTTCTTCCTTTCCTATCTTTATTGCTTTGATTTCTTTCCTTTGTCTAATTGCTATGGCTAATGTTTCTGGAACTATATTGAACAGGAGTGGTGATAGTGAACATCTTTGTCTTGTTCCTGATTTTAGCATGAAGGTTTTCAGTTTTTGCCATTTAATATGATGTTGGCTGTTGGATTTTCATAGATAGCCTTTATCAAGTTGAGATAAAGACAATCTATTCCAATTTTCTGCAGAGGTTTATCATGATTAAATGTTCAATTTTGTACAATGCTTTTTCTGCATCTTTTGAGATGATCATATGTTTTTTGTCCTTCAAAACATAGTGTATTATATTTATTGATCTATGTATGTTAAATAATCCTTGCATTCTTGGAATAAATCCTACTTGGTCAGGGTGTATGATCTTTTTGATGATCTTCTCTATTCCATTTGCCAGTATCTTATTGAGGATTTTTGCATCTAAGTTCATTAAGGAGATTGGCCAGTAGTTCTCTTTCTGGATTGGGTCTTTCCCTGGTTTTTCAATCAAAGTAACACTTGCTTTCTGGAATGAATTTGGAAGAATTGCTTCCCTTTCAATTTCATTGAAAAGTTTAAAGAGTAGTGGCAGTACTTCTTCTTAAAATGTCTTGTAGAATTCATCAATGAAGCCATCAGGACCTGGGTTTTTCTTTGTTGTTAAACTTTTAATTATATTTTCAATTTTCACTGACTAATTGGGGTGTTTAGAATATTTTTATTTTCTTCATTCAACTTTGGTAATTCATAAGTATCTAGAAATCTACCCATTTCTTCTGTGTTCACCATCTCATTAGAGTACAGGTTTTCTTAGTAGGTATTGATGATTCTCTGTATATCTGCTGGATCTGTTGTGACTTCATCTTTTATTGTTCCTAATTGCATGGAGCTGAGCCTTTTCTTTCCTTTTTTAGGCAAAGTTGGCTAAGGGTTTATTGACTTTATTTATTCTTTAAAATAACCAACTGTTCAATTCATTGATTATTTTGTATTGTTCTCTTAGTTTCTGTTGCATTGATTTCTTCTCTGATCTTTATAATTTCTTCTCTTGTATGAACTTTGGGATTTTCTTTCTCTTCTTTTTCTAGGAGCTTAAGATTCATCATTAGGTTGTTTATTTGAGCTCACTCTGTTTTCCTAGTGTTGGCATTCACTGCTATGAATTTTCCACATAGAACTGTTTCATTGAATGCCATAGATTCTTTTATGTTGCATTAGCATTATCATTTATTTGTAAAGACTGACTAATTTATTGCTTAATTTTCTCTGTGATGAACTGATTTTTCAGGAGTGTTGTTCAATTTCCAGGTGTTTGTGAAGATCTTATGGTTTCTTATGCTATTGATCTCCAGCTTAATTGCACTATGATCTGATAATATACATGGAATAACTTCAATTCCTTTGCATTTATTTGGACATTTTCTATGAGCTTCTATGTGGTCTTTCTTGGAGAATGAGCCAGATGCAGCTGAAAAGAAAGTATATTCTGATTCTGTGGTGTAGCACACTCTGTAGACATCTATTCAGTCCCTTTGTTCAAAAGCTTGGTTCAGTTTTA